TTTGTTTCGTGATTCGTGAAATCGAAAATTTACTATCGTCACTTCGTGACAAGACCCCCTCCCCTTGCCCCCCCTCTACATGAATAGAAAGTATAAATGTCCCTTAATTTAAAACAATAATAAAATTTGTCTGCCCACTAGGTTTTCAAAACTCACGACCGCTTAAAGTTCAGGAAAGTTTGAAAATATTCCAGCGAGTAACTAACACACTCGCCTTCTTAAAGTGCTCTGATGAATTCACGTAAATCTCGTACCTGACTTCAAGATTAAAGTTTTGGTCCTTTGTAGCGATCCTTGAAACCTGTAGGTAGCATTAAAACTGCCAGCTCTTCCTTCGTAGGTTTGTATATAAAGTGCATTTATAAGTTCCTCATCTGTGTCGAGCGTGACGGTCACATACTTCGATGTTCTTTGTATTACTGACCATTGTTTTCCTCGAAACCGGTTTAATCATGTAGAGTCCTCTTGAAAGGTTTGTTTTTAGACAACTCTCGGCACACATACATGTATGAACAGTAAACGGTGATCCGGGGAGCCAAGGAAGGATTGATAAATGCCACGGCATTTTGTGTTTACAACAGGTGTACTTACGGGAAGATTGGGAACTAAACACCTGTTGTAAACACAAAATGGCCGTGGCATTTATCAAATTTATGAGGAATGCCTGTAAAATAGCTGGTGTGTCATTTTATCTTTCACGTGATGTCATACCTGACATATAGCTACGTGTAATGCACAATAAACCTCTAATTTACCCTTCCGTACTGCATGGCATGGCATGCCTCGCCTTGGTAGACTTGGTACGGTGCGGTATAGTATGGAACACGCTTACAGTTATCCTCTACCACGTGTTGTTCACTAAGGTTTCGGCGTTGCTTCCGGTTTTCCAGTCGTACGTACAGTGCAGGACCCCCACAGCTAAATCTCCGAACTTGAGGATTACTTCCACCCGTATTTCCATGGCCTCCTCAACTTTTGCTTCCACCTATACTTTCCCTTCTCCTGATATGTTAATTCCTATCACCTCCTTTTCAAACAGTTTGATTCTTTTCCTGAATATTTCTAAAACACTTCTTTTACGTCCAGTGAGACTTCCATTCACCGAGCTTGATGTTGGTGAAGATATGTTTTGAGGGTAAGCTGAGTTATTAGCCGACAACATGTGATTTGAATTAGAAGGTGGATACGTATTTTTAGCTCCCGGTTCAACCAGCTTCACAAAGGACTGAATTCTAACCATTTCCGCACGAGTCTCGGGGCTAAAAACCGTTGCGTTCAACATAGTGACATTAAGACCACTTTTAGCGCGCATCGGTGTTCCAAAATTCAGCTTTGTTCCAAAATTCAGCAGTTCAGACAAGTAAGCATGGCTTTACCTTTCCATTCCATTGCTCTTCTTATGGACGCTAGGTCACTGTATGCGATACTTATGTCAATTGACGATTTAAAGTTCCCAAAATCGGAACGATTGAAACGATTTATGATAAAGACTAGTCGCTCCTTGTCTATTGCTTTTGCTCCCCTGTATATTTTCACAGCTCCCGATACTCCTGGAGAGTCCTCAGGGTGCAGCTGATTTTTTAGACTGGACTTCTCTCCGTCGACATCTTCGTAAAGATCTCTTTTCCATGCTGGTAGAAGCTGATCTAGTATCCTGTACATATGCATTAGACGAACAAATTTTTCGGCCGTTATTCTAGTTCCATAAAGTCCAATCGGTTCTCCGGCCTCATTTTTACGCCATAGTGCTCGTGAACTAGAGAGAACAAATTAAATGTCCAAATTGCGGTCATTGCGTTGAAGACTAACTAATGTTACCCAATAAAATCATTAGATACTAATCATTAATCATTTCTTCCGTAGTCGGCTTTATTTGAGATCACTTACATCTACAGTGAGTATAGCGCGTCAAGAAGACATCAGAATTCTCTGAGGTATACCGCAGCAAAATACTTATACCGATATGACGTAAGACTTAAAATATGACATAATTTTATTTCAAGTAGTCTTGAACACGCGCTCTTTGGTGCAGCTCTTTCAAACAGCTACCAAATTCGTTTCAGAGACTAGACGTTCATTGAATTCAGTGTATCGAAGTGAAGAGGTGAGAAAAAGCCAAAGAATTTAGACAAATTTATCTTTATTCAAACTGACATACTTTTCAAAAAGCGTTACCACGGTTGTGTCCTGGTGTACCGGTACACAGAGGGAATAACCATTATAGCTGTTGTGTATTGTTGGGTCTTTTATATCGGTTCTTCTGTACAGGTACACGAGGACAGATCTGGTTTCACCATCTCGCGTGAGCTGGCCAGCGCAATGAGTGACTCCGGCACAACACGACTACTTTGAATGATTGAAAACGGTTACCTACCTTTTATAGCCTACGCAAAGCTCCCTTTTAAATTAAACAGCTCGAAGAGATTTCCCGACGAGACAGAAGTTCTCATGTCTTTCTGCTCGGTGAGAGACCAGAGGTAACCTCTGCTCGACCCAGCTGCTCGATTAACTATCGCGCATGCGCGAACTACGTCAGCATAATACCGATAAATAATAATAAATCAATATTTTAAGAGGAGGCTTCCAGTCACACAAAGGTGGTTTTCAGGAAAGTCCTCAAGTATCAAGTATCAAGTATCAAGTTTTGTCGTGCGAAACATCTGCAGGATTCGAAGGGCGGCGGCTTACAGCATCAAAGACTCCAGCCGGTGTTTCTAAACGATGTTCTAATTGGCTAGTTATAGCTCAATTTGTAGACGCAATGTGTGCAAATCTTTAGCATCCATTGTCAACAGTTAGTTGCCTGAAGTTGATTGGCGAATAAGGGCTCAAGAATATTAAAATGACGGGTTGATTTGTGAAAGAAGATGACTCGCGGTCTCAAGTTCTTCTTTTTCGTTCGACGACGGTGCCTCAGATTATTCAACATCACTTGCAACTACCAGGCCCTAGCGCGCTAACTTATTTCAGTATTCGGACTCCAAAGACTCTATTATTGGAGCCAAAGTGTGGAATTCTTTACCGGATGAATTACGTTCAATGACAATCATTAAGGAATTTATGAATGCTGTAAGAGAGCTAAATTTGTGATGTACAGTTTTCTATGATTCACTGGTTTATAGATAGATAGATAGATAGATAGATAGATAGATAGACAGATAGACAGATAGATGGATAGATAGACAGATAGACAGATGGACAGACAGATAGACAGATAGACAGATAGATAGACAGATAGATAGATAGATAGGTAGGTAGGTAGGTAGATAGATAGATAGATAGATAGATTTATATTTATATTTATATTTATATTTTTTTTTCTCGGCATATTAATATGACTGTATTGAAATGAAGTTACTAACTTACTTACTTATACAGAGTGCTAACTTGGTGGAGAACCCGTATTTGTTTTGTGTTTGTCTGACTGATTTTTTGACATGAGCATTTTAAAATACTTCGTAAATGTGCAAGTTCAGAGAGGTGTTAAAGAAAACGTGACAATTAACGGACAAGTTGTTGTACGTATTTTTGAAGGAAGATTGTTGAACCCTCAAGAACATAAGGGGCCAGCTTATGAGAGAGGGAGCGGGGAGTTTTTTTTTTAATCGAATCATAAATGTAAGAAAAAAATGAAAGAGGGCTCTCTTTTGATAGGCTTTATTTGCAACCACACCCAATCTTACAATCACCGCGTGCTGTTTATACCTTACCCCGTCTGAAAGTCATACTGTCACGAGAGATTGCTATTCAACCTTTATTAGAAATTAAGCCCTTTCATATTTTATTGTTACCTTTTTAAAACTTCTACTTAATAAGATGTCTACATCTTTTCTCAAGCTAGATATGTAACGCCAGAGTTCAATTCCAAATAAAAATACGAAAATCAGCTGCCGTCGTCAAAATGCGCTGAACTTAGTCATTTCACGTTGTTGTTGTGCAGAGGAAGGCAAAGAAATGTACAAAAACGTGCACAGCTATTGTTCCACTCAATAAATCTTTTGTTTGGTGCCGTTACCGTCGTGGTCTGCTTAAGCTCTCTAGGAAAAGTCTCCGGTCCTTGACGGCGACAAATCGATCTGTTTTTAAACGAGCTGACTGAAAAGTAAATTCGCTATTGTGCTCGCTAGTTATTTAAAACTCTCAGGAGACACAGGAATTGTTTTATTGCATGCAGACACGCACACAGGCCTCTGGCCTCGACCCGGTTCACTTAGATACAAGCGAGTTCACACAAAACCCCATTTCATCCGTGCTGAACCGGCAAAAAGTTGCTGGTTTCGTTTCTCGTTGAAACGTGAATTTTCTTTACAGCTAATTAATCCCAGGGAATGGGGATGGGTACTCCCTACAGTGGGGGATACGGGAAGGCTCCGCCTAAATACAAAAGGGTAGGGAAAACTGCCATTTAGATCGATATTCGAAAGAGCTTTTCAAATTATCTCGCACGGACGCACCTAACGACTTATTCATCTAACTATTAATTGCAATCTTCATAGAGAAAGCCACATCAGCCTTAGCTGGTTTTCATGCGCTCCTCTATCCTATCCCTTTTAAAGGGGTTACTGAAGTGATAAGCTTGAAAAAGAGTTACAGTATTTTCATTGAAGTTGTATGAAAAGAATTACGTTATTATTTTACCTGTTCCACCACTGTCTACTGATCCAGGGAAGAAGCTTATTAACGATATGGTCAATCAACACTCGATCTAACAAAAATCTCTAAGCTAACGGGTTATTAGCAGACCCGCTTAAGCACTAATAGGAAACCATTGTTGCTGGCGGAATTTCGCTCGCAGGTGCCTCGTTTCGACGGCGAGGCCTCCAGTGAGAGCGGCGAGGTCACGAAGAAACCCTCCCGTCTCATGTTTGCTTCCCCTCCCGCCCCCCTCCCCACCACTGCTGAAACTTGCGCGCGAAATTCCGCTAGCCACCGAGGCTCTACAGATTACGGGTTTTTTTTTCTCATATATAGACTCGAAAAAACGCACTTACATCCCGAAAGGAGATGTTCAAACACACGCAGTCACACGTCTACTACTGATAAGTCAGTGTTCCTTGATTGGTACGAAGGTAACTTCTCAAGGCCTTGGTGATATACCTCCTTAACCGCATCTTGACAACAATTGCCAATTTCTATTTATGGCAGCCCATGTTCCGAAGTTCCATATTGTGTGTCGTGTGCCCCAGTCCCACCACCACCAGTTCCACCACTGATAGAAAACACCACCGTTCACCTCCAGGGCAGTTAGCTGAGTAGAAAGGGCCACACACCACTTCTGGCCTGGGAAACGGTCTGCTTGGTAAGACAAAGTCACAGGGAGGCCAACACGTACAAGTGTACCCTCTAAATAGACGCCACCTCGGATAACGCCCGCTGAAAGGTATACTTCAACACCAGTTGTCGCTTCTGCATAAGGCTGAATCTAAACGAGATAAAATAAAAGTGAAACCCCTTTGATACGGGCAACGAAGGGACCACGAGATGTCCGTATTGAGGATCATTAAACAGCTTGATGTATGAGTAGATCCCATTAACTTAATCTCCTTATTTCTACGTCTAATATCTGACTAGTCCCCAGTCGTCTGTTTAAAAGTCCATGGCGACAGTCGAGGGAACCTGGATGAAACTCCTCGGGGACACGGACGGGATCGTAGGAAGAAAGCGCTCCTCTCAATCTCGTTCCCAGATCTCTTGCCGCCCACAAGAGATCTGGGAAAGAGATAACCCTACTCTCTTGCAGTCAATGAGATTCAGTGGATCTTTGAAACGACTGTGGACGAGTCAGATCTTATTTCTTACGAATGACTAGAACCGAACAAAACGTGTCTCAAATGGTAATAACATGCCAAGTTAAGAAAGGAATTAGCTGTTGCAGAAGAAGGGTAAACAGGTTCATAGAAATGCATCATAGTATCACATCAAAGTCTCAATTGCAATGCTTTTTAGTTTTGTACATAAAAACCCTAATCTAAAAACGCTCTCTAAAAAGAAAAGTTTTCAACCTTGATTTAAAACAGTCCACAGAGAAACACTGTTTGATGTCATTTGGTAAATCATTGGTGCGCCTTGGTGCTTTAATTAACAGACAAAGATCTGTCGCTATAAAAAGTCGTTTTGGTCTTTCAAATAGACAGTAGATTTGAGCTTCTTGACCGATGCAAACGCTGAGGTGCGAGATGAAAGTTAAAATAGGCAAGAGCGAGGCCACGAAGGGCTTTGTAAGTGACCAGAAACTATTCATAAAAAGTATCGAAAGAATCAAACACTTAACTGCTTTCTCATCAGTCTACTCATAAAGTTGTTCAGTCATCAATAAAAGAAAAATATCGTCTCAGAAAAATTAAGCTTTGACTAAGAATCATGTCCTAATAAGGATTAAGGAAATGATCACCAAAAATAGATTTTACTGATATTAATCAACTCTCGCTCCTTGAAAAAGGCGAGGAGAAATTGTATGTTGACGCTGTAGATTGAAGGATTTAAGGATTTAAAGTTTACCTCCACAGTTAACTTGACCGGATTGAGTAAATTGTCCCCAGGAGGAAAGCTCAGCTCGTAATTGACTCTAAATTCCACGTAGAAATCCACTCCGATCGACAAGAACAGTACCGGAAAATAGATTGTCTGAAGAGAAAGGAACCACCAACAAATTTAGTGCGTCCAGTCGGGTGTATCTTATATACCCTGGGAAATTATTAGTACTGTGGCATAAGGTTACGTGGCCAT